AAAATCTGTTTTCCTGAAGGAAATCATGGAAGATATAATTAAATGGAAAGACACTCCAAGTTCGGAGATCAGACTACTTCATATTATTTAAATATCCATATGACCTAAAGCAATAAATATAGACAATATAATGTCTATCAAATCTCAATGGCCTTTTTTGTAGAATAGAAAAATCCATATAAAATTCATATCAAATGCCAAAGCAAATGTGAAAAACAGTTAACAAAGTCAATACATTATCTTCATACTGCCTGACTTTCAAACATACCACACAGCTACAGTAATCAAATAGTACGGAACTCAAACAAAGATGCAAAGACAAATGAACAGAACAGGCAGCCCAGATATAAACTCTCCTGTTCATGGTCAAATCTTCTTTGGTAAGAGCACTGTACAAATAGATAGCAAAGACCAACAATACAAAAACATAAGCCCTAACCAACACTTCCAGCATCAATACTAAGTAAGCAAAGCAGTCCTGGAGCATAGATAACAGTACTACATTCACTGAGGCTGCAGGCTGGCCCGGCTTCAGGTCCTGAAGAAAGCCTAGAGACCATGCAGATAGTTGACATGAATAAAATTCCACCATGCAAAGCAGGCACCAAATTCCCATCGGCTGCTCAGCCCCTGTTGGCTGAGCTAGAGGTAAAGTGCTGAAAGTTCTGCAAATCCTGGAAGGTTGAATAGAAAAAGGATGCTTCCACCTTGAAACACAGTGCAGTCCCAGGCAGAGCCTCACAACAGGTATAACTGGGCCATGTCACATCCTAGCCCAGGCTCCTGGACTCATCAAACTGTTGCCCTAGTAACAGAGCTTAGAAATGGTTTAAAATCTTACTGTAAATTAGGGTTATTGGTGTCTGGATAGAAGCAATCCAAAAGTTGCCAAAATATAACAGCAGGCCTCATAGGAAGAATGATAAAGGAGGAAAGGAGAGAAACATACCCCGAGGCCAAAAGCCCAAACACTTGAAAATTGTAAAATCTTACCTAAATATATTGATAAAGTGACAGCCAAGCAGATCAATGTTTAAAATACAAATGCATAGCTTTATGGAAAACACTGATTGATTATGTTAGAAACGCTCAGAGAAATAAGCTAATAGCTTTCTGTAAAAAGAAAAAAAAATTGCCATACGATAAAAACAGGAAGAAATAAATCAAAAACGGGAAGATAATAAAAGAAGCCATTGAACATTCCAAAATGGAAAAAAAAAACTGTGCCTGAAACCACAAAACAGCATAAAATCTGATCATGATGAGCTTGAAATTTTTTAACTTAACTAGCAGAAAAGACCAAAAATATGGCTGAGAAACAAACCGCGTATGAGATACAAGTTAAGATTTTCTAGAATTGGAGAATTGTGATTCTTAGGTTTATAAGTGCATTCAAAATTACTAATAGGTAAAGAGAGATTCGAATATGGGTATAACAGTTTAAGAACAGGAAATACAAAGTGGAACGGGAGTTCCTTAGAGACTACTCACAGAGGAAAAAACATTAAACTGACAGCAAACTTCCTACATTGAACAACAGACACCAAAAGTCAGTGGGATATATTATTTCATGAATGTTGGGGAAAATACTGGTCTAGTAAGACTCATAACTATCTGAACTACAAAGGTAAGAGAGAGCGGAGGGAAGACCTTTACAGGGATACATCATATAGCGTATTACCACCATACAGAAACCCAAGAAAAACATGAGAATTCACTACACATAGAGCATCACACACAATGAAAGATTTAGTTTAGAGAAAACAGTAAACCCAGTATTAATCTGATACACAAGAAAATAATAAAAGTATATATATAGAAATTACTCTTAAAACTGGCAAAATTTAATGACTAGATATAAACAACTTATTTTAAAGTACAGCTAATAAAACTGGTGAGACAGTGTTTAAATAGCCAAGAAAATATCCTAGGGTCTATGAACTGTTTGGACGGAAGATACAAACACAAAAAATATTTAGCAATGTATGTAATTATGTATATGTATATGCTTAAAAAAAAGTAACCACTAAAGTAATCGAAATGTAGCCTAAGCTCACAAGGAATCAAGAGATTAAAAGAAAACTTCAATAATGTAACAGAGTTAAAAAAAAAGAAAGAAAAACAAAAATAGATTTAAAAGTACAAATTATAATGATAAAATCAAATCCATATACATCAACAATCATGTCAAATACATATGGATTAGTTCACCTAGATCTTTAGAATAGACCTCAAAGCACTAGCGTTCACCACCCTCCTCCCATCTCTTGGCAAAAGAAGAGAAGTCAAAAGTAACAAGGGAATGCATTTCTAGCTTAAATCTGAATAGAAATCAGATAGATGACACCAGATACAAGATACCACTGCAAAATCCCCTTGGACTCTAAATTAGTTTCTCTAGGACTTCTTTAGTTTGCACAGTCACTGCCACTGCCTCTGTATGTCTTTTGATGATCCTTACTGATGTGCTCAATTAAACTGGTCACAGGAAATAGGACATTGCTTTTCAAATAATTTCAGAGCTTGATACATGTCAAATTCACCCCAGGGAAGTCAAGGTTAATGACTGTGTTTGAACTCATCACAAGACCCCTGCCCCCTCTCTCACTGAGGCACTCCAGTACAGAGTCCCCACACCCAGATGTTGGTCCCTTTAGTCCTATTATAGAATGTTTATGTCTAGTCCCATGATTTAAAATAAAAAACAAGCATTCTCCTGATTAGTCTGGGACAGAGGAGGGGAGTTTGGAGAGGAGAGACCCTGATGATCAATGCAGGTGATGGTCCAATAAGAATTAAAGGACACTTTTCCTAGTATCCTAGCAGGGGAAGGCACTGTGATTCTGGTTATGATACAAGTACTCAGTGTACCCAAGTATGAAACTCAATAAATGATCACTGGCTCTATAAAGGTGTTACTCTATTTTGAAGAAGTTCCTGCAGTCAACATTGCAAGTTTCTATAAGACCTCTTAAACTTACTTATGAACAATAAATATAAAAGAATGAATCTCTGAAAAGACCATAGAGGATGAAACTGAACATCTCCCTGTACCACCCATTCTGCGTGAGTACACACACACAGACACACACAGACACACTCGTGCACAAACACACACACACACACACACACACACACACACACCTCCTGCCTGCAATCCTGTGATGAAACTTTCTATATTTTTATTTTCTCTGACAATTAAAAATCAACTCTTGTTCAATGATTCAAACTCTACAATTTCTGTAGCATTGCAACCTGAATCTATACAGGCTTATTTGATGACCTGTTAAATTCTTAATACTGTCCTAAGAGGATCTCCATATTAGGTTTTATTGTATTTAAAAGCTTTTTTTTTTTAAGTTTAGCTACCTAAAATTATTTAACCTACTGCATTCTTTGTTATTGTTTGGATTTTTACATTTAAAATGGATTCATGGGGGCCTGGGGATATGGTTTAGAGGTAGAGTGCTTGCCTAGCATGTGTGAAGCCCTATGTTCAATCTCTAGCTCTGAAAAAAAATTAAAATAAATTTAAAAATTGAATTTAAGGATAACTTTACATGAAGAATTCCTAGATATATAATGTACTAAAATTGAAAGCTTGTTACTTTGAAATTGCGTCTATCTTTAAATACTATTTTGATCAGTAACTTGAAAATGTGCATGCTTATATATTGTATATAAGTTCAGATCTGAATATGTCCAGGAGTAAAATATTAACATCAAACTTTACTAAAATATATTTTTGCTTTAATTAACATGGTAATTGCACATGTTTATGGAAGACTGTGATATTTCAATAAAGGCATACAACATGTAATGCTCATGTATCTGGCCTGCCACCTCAATATTGATCATGGCCTCTTATTGGGAATATTTATACACTAGTGGCTTCAATTCTAATATTAAAATATTATTAATGATTAAATATAATGCATAGTAAATTGGTTTAGTTGGCTACTGGAAGCATCTACTATTCAATATTTAACTTACAATAGGTAAACACACATGAACTTCCTAAATAACCTGAAAAATGACCAAGACCTGAAGGGGAAGAAACCTGTAGACACGATTTTCGAGAAATATTTTTATGAACCACAAACAGGTCATTGCCATTTGAGGAAACAAAAATTATGTATATCAGAAAGGCCACATCCTTTCAATGTATAAATTATTGACTTCTAGAGACAACCGTCAGAACAGTGCTAACTACATAAAAAATATATCAGTGCCTACAATTTAGACACTGGTGCTAAACAATTTTGTCAGTTTTGGATTTGCAAGGTTTAGTGACCAACACTCTCCCTTTAAAGGCCAGAAATTAAGACATTAAGAGAAAGAGGAAATGTGTTTAGCAATTGTAGTATGTACACACACACACACACACACTGATGGACGGACACAAGTGTGCTGTAGTCTACATAATATGCCAGTATCCTAGCTCCTATCCCAGATCTCATTCTATAAATTCACACTGCCTTTGAATTAAATAATTGCTCTGAGAACATGACATTATAGATAGTACCAGATTTATTAAATATAAGCAAAAGCAGAGTCTGTGAAAATCCTCTCTCCACAATAGGATAAAGAAGATGTTCTATAAGGAATCGTACAAGCTTGAAAGGGAAAGAAACAGGGACAAGCAGTGTCTTACTCCTTCAACTAAACAGAAAGGTAAATTTCAAAACACATGATCTGGAAGTTGAAGCTACATGTAGAAATATATCACACGGAAAGTAACTGGCTCATTCCCACTCCCTAGGGTGCGACTTTCAACACTCTAATGATAAAATTCTTAAAAGCCCAGAAAATTAGGTTTGAAAGATAAGCTGAAATCATTTCCTTAAAATAATGATTGCATATCTCTCAATGCCAGCACACACACACACACACACACACACACACACACACACTAGAGAGCACGTACATGCAGAGAGAGAGAGAGAGAAGAGAGAGAGAGAGAGAGAGAGAGAGAGAGAGAGAGAGAGAGAAAGACTTACTGAGCTGTAGAGATAGCCTTCCCCATTCATGGCCACATAGAGGCTGGCTTTCACTCCTTGGATGGCCACCACACGCAGTCCCACAGGAATTAGGTTGAAAAGGGCTAGAAGGACAAAAGAGAAGACAGAAAGTAAGATTAGTGACCTTGGGAAGAAATCTCTTTGCTTATTAGAATGTTTCTTTTCAGTGTTAAAAATCTATTGAAAAGGGTATGAAGAAGGAAGTAGGGGAGGAGACAGAAATGAAGGGGGGAAGGGAGGGAGGGA